GGGATCTAACAGCCCCCCAGTCCCCAAGGTGAAAGCACCTCTTTCTGTCCTGTTCCCTCTCCCTGACCCCAGGCAGCCCAGCCTGTCCTGGGCCACACGGCTTGGTTTTCCTGGGACAGCTCCTGCTACCCAGGGCTAGGCACCAAGGCAGCCCTGCTGGGACCTGCTCAGAATGGGAGATAAATGCCAGAGGCTTCTGGGGCCCAGGCTTTCCTCTCACTGTCACCTGGAAAACGAAGGACCTCACTAGTTCCCGCTCCACACGCCCCGGCTCAGAGAGGAGGGAGGAGCGGCTTGGGCCAGCTGCTCTCTGGGGGACCCCGTGCAGCCCCGTCCTCTCCCCCAGGGTGGGCCCCCCCTCACCCAGCTCAGACCATGTGGATCTTCTTGGGGGCACCAGGTCTCCTTCATCCTCACGCCCCACCCCAAAACAGACTTCAGAGCCCTCACCCCAGCGTGCTCCGGGTGGCCCAGGGCCTGAGCCCCCCATGGGGGGGGCGGCTGCCGCTGTGTTTACTGTGCTCTGACAATAGCGCTCTGTGGTCTGGAACACGATGCTGTGTGTCCGCACCCCACACCCGCCCAGCCCGTGCCAGCCTCCACCCCCTCCCCAAGCTGGGACGGAGCCCAGGGCTAGCTGAGGAGGCATGTGGGCACCTACGGGCGACAGGACAGGCACGCGCCATGTGCTCACAGGGTGAGGGGCGAGGGTGGCTGCACACCAGAGCAGCAGTGCTGGAGGCAGGGGTCACCCTCCAGGGCACCAGCCCTGCCCACACCCACCCCGCCACCGAGCACCTCTGCCACTGTCTCTGCAGCAACAGGCCACGGCTGCCTCTCCCATTGCTATAGCAACGGCCTCGCTCGAGCTGCCGGGAGGAGGAGGAGAGTCCTGGCGGGCGGGCGGGCAGCAGGAGGCTATGGGGGCATCTGGTGACAGGCAGCAGCACAAGTCCAGCACCAGCGGGGTGCCCCGCATGGGTGCCCGCAAGTGGCCATACCTCTGTCCCTCAAGACCAGCCCACAGCCTTCACGTTGTCCCGGGACCTGGACGACCACTGTGGGCTAGACACCCCCACCCACTCCCCGCCTGCTGTGTCAAGGAGAACGCGTGGGACCGAAGGGTGGCACTGCCCCTTCCCACCCCAGTGGCTCAGTGATAATGATCCCGTCTCTCCACCAAGAGCAGCCTGTGGCCCAGGGTAGACCCACCCCCAGCTAACTAAGAGGGGACGGCCCACACTCGCTGGCAAGGAAACAGAGGTGAGGAGTTTCTGAGCAGGAAGCAAGCAGGGCAAAGTCCGTGGCTCCTACTCCCCCACCCCAAGCTGGGCCCAGGCTGCACCCCGCCCCAGCAAGGCAACCGGCAGGCAGGGCGAAACCTCCACACATCTGAGCCTGGCCTCAGGAGTCTAGTTCCGAAGCCCACAGCCCTCCCCAGGAAAGTGGGGTCCACAGGAGTGTGCCCGGCATCTAACTAGCCCCTGCCCCAGCCCCAGGTTATGAGCCTGGCAGGGAATCGGCCTCCCTAGAGGGAGAATTTCCTACTGCTGGGGCCGCAGGCTGAGGACCTCCACCGTGGCCCAGCCAGCCCCTGAGAGCCCTGTAGGGTGGGGCCGCTCCTCCAGGTGGGACGGTGGGCACCTCCCACTTGTTTGCCAGGTGTTCTTGCAAGCCCCTGCCCCCTTCTCTGAGCCTTGGTGTCCCCCCCTAGACATAGGATCCACCATTCCAGCCTCTGCTCCCAGGCCCTGGGGCTAATACTAACACATGCCCACATTCCAACCCTGCCCCTGCCCCTGCCCCTGCCCTGCTCTGTTGTCCCCCGTGAGCCAACACCCAGGGCTGCAGGGCTGCAGGCCTGATCCACGGGACCCCACACCAGCCAGCCCCAGGCGCCCTGGGCAGGGAGTGTACCTAACCCTGGCTCCCTGCCAGGGCCAGGTGCCTAGGGGAACCCTGCCAGGCTGTGGTGGCGATGTCTACCCCACCCTGCCTGCGAGCCCAGTTCCCTGCGGTGCATCTGAAGCCCTTCGGAAGAGGAGCACAGGCAGGAGCCGGTGTGGCCCAGTGGGGTCCCAGGGCCCACGTTGAGCAAGAGCATACCCCACCTCAGGCCCTCACCCACTCCGGGCCCTGCCCTGGAAAATCCCGACAGCCCTTTCAAAAACACAACCTGGCCCAGGCCTCCAGCCTGTGCACTGCCCCTGCCCTTGTGGGGCCAGCACGCCCCCCTCCCCACCAGGACTTCTGTGTCTGACAGCTGCTGTGTCCTGCACCCTCAGGCCTCCTGGCTGCCCGGGCAGTGCTGGGGAACCCGGTGGTCACAGCTCCAAACGGTGGGACCCAGCGCCGAGAGGAGGCTGGGGACCAGGAATGAACCAGAGGGTGGGTCAGCCTCCAGGAGAACTGGCTCCAAAGGACAAAGGGGCGCTGAGACTCCGGCTGGCTGAGCCTAACACAACAAGGACGTTCCCGGTGCTGAGAAAGCTGGAGCAAGGGCCGGTGCACCCGCCAGCAGGAACGGGGGAGGTGCCTGGGACCAACCTCCTCAACGGGCGGCTGCCCAAGGGCAGGGGCAGGTGGAGGGAGCGAAGGAACAGGGGCCCCAAGGGGCCCCAAGGGGCTGGGTCCGGGAGCCCGGAGCCCCGGGCCGGCCGGAGTCCCCCAGGCCTGCCCTTGGTCGCGGGAGCCGGCCTCCGCCAGCCAGAGGCCTGGGCCCCTGCCCGCGCCCCGCAGAGGCCCGAGCGCTGCGGAGGGCGCCCGCCGTGACTCAGCCGAGCGCCGCGGCTGCCGGCCGTGGGCACGCGCGCCCTGCCGGGAAGCCGAGGCGGGCGGGCAGGGGGCTCCGGCCCGGCCGCCCCCTCGCCCGCCCGGGTCCGCGCGCGCCCCGCCGCCCCCGTGCACGCGGGAGCGCGCCGCCAGCCTGGTGCGCGCGGCTGAGCTCACCGGGCTCCGGCGCTTGAGCGTCACGTTCTTCCAGAGCAGCAGCTGCAGCTGGTGCAGGAAGCCCATGGCGGGCCGCGCTCCGGCCGCTCAGCGCCGCGGCCCGCTGCTCTGCGCCCCGCCGGGCCCGCTCGGCATCGCCGCGGGGGCGGGTCTCGGCGTCCGGGACCGGCCGAGCTGGCTCCGCCCCGGCGGCCGGCGACAGCGACTCGGCCCCGCCACGCCCCCGCTTAAAGGCGCCGCGCGCCCGCCAGGAGGCGCCCGCTCCCGCTCGGCTCCGCGTCCCGCTCCCCGCCCCCTCGCTCCCCGTCCCGCGCCCCGTCCCGCACGGGGCACGGCGCCAGCCCCCAGGGCCCGGCCTCTCCCTCCCAGGGCCGCCGGCCCGAAGACTCCCGCTGGCGCCCCGAGGGCAAGCCGGGGGAGGCGCGGCCCCCACCAGGTCTCCCCGCCCTGCCGACACTCCCAAGAGGCCAAAATCTCCTTTGGACGTGAGAGCAGGTCCCAGCCCCAGGGACACTGTCGGGGAAGCGGGGCCAGGTGCCACCCCCGGGGCGGGGGAAGCCCTGTCCTGCCCAGAGAGCCCTGTGCAGGGCGGACTGCCCCCAGGCCCCAAGAGTCAGCTGCCGGAGCCCCTTAGCAGGGACCGGAGCAGGGCTGCGCACCGGCCCGCCCACCCCCCGAGTGTCCTGAGCCACTGGAGACCGAGTGACCGCCACTGTGGGCGGCAGGACGGCCAGGCTGGCTCCACTGGGCTGGCTCTGAGTGCCAGGGCAAGGGAGGGACCGGAGCCCCAGGGGCTGCTCCCTGCCTGGCAGGCAGGCTGCTTGGGAGCCCGAGGCCACCCTTCTGCCTGTGGTTCACTCTCCCCCCAAGGTGGAGAGCTTGGCCTCTGCACAGGGAGTGTGGGGTCCAGTCAAACCCCAAATGCGGCCTGGCCTGCAGAGGGTGGGAGGCCTCTGGATGGCTCTGATGGCTCCTCCCCAGCCTCAGTTTCCCCACCTGCAAACGGGAGGGGGTGGAGCTGTGGGCTGTGTGGTGTCACACATAGAGGGCACATCCTAAAATGAATGTAAGAGTTTGAGGGCCACAGCTCCCCACCCCCAGCCCTCCCAGCTACTTCTTTGTGCCACAAGGGACCACCCAGGTAGGATGGTGAGGGCACAAGCCTCCTCCCCAACCTGCAGCCTCTGGACGCTCCCTCCTCCCCAGCCAGCCCAAGGGGCTAGGTCAGGGCAGGAAGCCACCAGAGGCTTCCCCACAAGCCTCTGCCAAGGGGAAGGAGGCCCCTGTCCCTGTCCCAGGGCTGGCCCATCAGGGCGCTGGTCAGCTCCCCACCCCATGGGCTCCCCACCTGCCTCCCTCCCCCAGCCCACCACGGAGGCTCCCCTGGCTGCAGCAGCCTCAATGCCCCTCTCGCCCATGTAGCCACCAGAAGGAACTCCCAGTCACTAGTCAGACCCTGTCACAGCCCAGACGCCCTCAGACTGAGAGCTCATGAATGGGACCCCTCAATTCCCCACTCCCAACCCGCCTTGGCCTTTGGGGTTCAGGGAAGGCGCTCCGATGAGGGTGCCACTTAGCCGAGGCTGTACTGAGTCCGGGAGCTGGCGGGGGTGGGCATGGGGAGGGCAGGGGCCCTGGGCGGGGCAGGCAGGGGTGAGGTCAGGAACGAACAGAGGGCCGACAGGGGCGCTGTTGCCTGGCACAGACGGACCGTGAGATACTGGTTGGCTCCTTTATTGTGCGCCCTCCTGCCCCGAACAGCTGGTTCCTCCACCAGGGTCTCCCGGCCCAGCGCGCTGCACACAGGGGCTCCAGGCCAGCAAGAGCAGCAGGGCCCTGTGCCTGCATCTCAGGGACCAGGGCGCCTCAGTTACGGAGGAGGGTCAGGGGCCCACATTTGGGCCCCACACACTGCAGGCTGGGGCGTCTCGAGCCACCCAAGACTTGCCCGAGGTGAGGCGGTTCCTCAGCAGCCTGTCCTCTTTGGTGCACCCAGACACCCCGATCAGGGCCCACCAGCCTCCTCCTCCAGGCAGCCTCCCCAGCTCAGCCTGCTCCTCCCTCACCCTCACTTCCTGGCCTCTGACCCCAGCCTCCCTTTAGCCCTATGGCTGCTGCTGGGGGCCGGATGCTTGGTGGTTTGGTTGCGACATTCAGCCCTTCCACCCACATCCCCCTCCCCTGGCCAGCGGGAGCTCAGGCCTGGAACCAGCCCTCCAGGTCCTCATAGACCTGGCCTCGGGGCAGGTGGGGGTAGCGGGCACAGATGGCACAGAAGCGCTCCCGCCAGTCGGCCAGCAGCCGTACCCGGAGCCTGTCACGCCAGGTGAAGAAGTGTCGATAGCGGCTCTCGTTCATGCCAGTGAGGAAAGCAGCCAGCTCGCGGGCCGAACCAAAGTCATCCACGTGCACGAAGGCGTCAGGAGGCACGAAGGCCTCGTAGGTGGCCCTCGGGGGCCCCAGCACCACAGGCACGGCGCCCGCCGCCAGCGCGTTGCGCCAGAACTTCTCGGTAATGTAGTCGCGGTGCTGCGAGTTCTCGAAGGACAGGTAGAAGCGGTACCGGGCCACGGTGGGCAGCAGGCAGTTGGCGCACAGTGGCCGCCCGCTGGCACGACCGAACACGTCCACCCGAAGGTGAGGCGCCAGCTGCCGGTACAGCCGCGCTCGCTGCTGCCGCTCCTGGAAATTGCTGATCACCCAGGCGGCCACCCCGCTCTTAGCGGGCAGCGGCGGCGAGGGCCCCGAGTGGGCCTCCAGGCGGCCATAGGGCACGAAGATGTCCGAGTCGCGCCGGTAGCTCAGCACCCAGTTGAAGACGCCACGGAGGCGGCCGAGGCCGCGAGTGTGGCTGGGGGACTCCATGGAGGCCCACACCCACGGCTGCCCGCGCGGCCGCTGGGCCAGGGGCAGGCGGGACCGCCGCGTCTCCAGCTCGCGATGGTGGAAGACCACGGCGTCCGCACTGGCCAGCAGGCTCCGGTTGGCACTCAGGCGGCAGTGGGTCATGCCATAGCGGGAGCACGTGTCGCTGGGCAGCTCTGGGGGCCGGTCAGTGAAGGGCCAGTGCCAGACAAGGATGGTGATTGTGGGCTGGGGTGCTGGCGCACCCCTAGGGGCCGACCCCAGCAGCCACAGGAGCCAGACGACTGCAAGCAGGGCCCCCCCTGCCAGGCCCCCCCAGCTCCGTAGCCTCCGGGTGGGGCCGCACCCTGTAGCGGAACAAGCCAGCGAGGAGAGGCTCTGTCACCTGGGGCTCAGGGACACCTACGGGCCCCTCCCCACCACCCCTGCCCTCCCCACCACCCCTGCCCTCCCCTCGCCCAGCAGGCACCTCCCTGGGCTGGGCTTCCCCGGGGCAGACACTCACCAGCACCGCTCATTCAGGGCTCTCAGCGTCAGTCCCCGGAGACGTCTGAGGCTTTCAAATCACAGCAGCCGCCAAACGGAGGTGCCCTGAAATCACGGCTGTGCCCCGACTCAGCCCTGCCTGGAACTGCACCCCTTTCATCTGCCCAAGGTGAGGGAAGCCAGGGGCCCTTCCCACCACCGCCCCGCCCTTGCCCCCACGACCTTTGGCATCAACCACCATCCCCACCCCCGCCTCCCTCTCTGGTCCTGGGGTTGCTAGGAGCCGGGTGGCTACAAGACGGGCACCAAACCAGGGCCCAATATGACTCCCCCCTGGCCCACACCCACTGGTCTCCAGAGAGGCCTGGAGATGACCGCCTGGGCACACAGAGGACAGGGAGGAGGGGTCACTTGTTCCAGGAAGGGCCAGGTACGGGCACCCTAGGCAGAGGCGCCCCCGCCAGGCAAGTGTACTTCCCCCAGAGGCCACACAGCCCCTCCCAACCTGGCATCACCCACTTCCCCCGGTTCACCGCCAGCTGGGGCCTGCTCCCCCAGGAGACCCTGGCGCATCACAGATGTGTGTGCTCAGCTCTTTGCAGGAGGCTGAGGTTTCTAACCGGGCCACCCCACCCCTGCCACCGCCTGCAACCCAGATGCCCAGGGAGGGGGTCTGTCCTGGGGTGCTAGGGGTGTCTGTCCACAGGGGCCTCAGCAGATGCCACAGGGTGCAGACACTAGGCTGGGCCTGGCCCAGGGCGAACTGTGGGGGCTGCTGCGTGGTTTTTCCCTGCCCAAGGACATGCCCATGGAAACCCCAGGCTGAGCCCAGGGTCCTGGATGCTGGACGAGCTGCAGCTCGCTCCCCCGGGACTGCAGCCGGAGGGGGCTTTCCAGGCTGGAAAGGGAAGCAGTCCTCATGTCCCTGACGCAAGCGGGCAGGGGGCTGGCGCCTGCTCCAGGAAGGAGGCTGGACCCAGCCTGAAGTCCAGGCCCCCCCCGCCCCCTGCAGCCACGGCCTGGAGCCTGGAGGTCGAGTTCCGAGTTCCTCTTCCTTTCACTTTGGCTCTTCCGAGCTGGGGAGGCAGCAGGCCAATGTGGGGCAGACTGGGACGGCCCTGCAGCGTCCCCCCAAACTCTAGCCTACACCCCGCTCTCAGTTGCTTTTACCCCAACCGGATGGCACACTCTGCTGTCCAGGACCTGCGCAGTCCCAGACATGGCATGGCAAGGCCTGGCTCTCGTGCCCAGTGTCCCAGCGGTCTCAGGCCTGGTCAGGTTCTTTGAGGCCCCAGACGGGGTGCCCTGGAAGGAACAGCTGGCTGGGTCTGGCCGGGTCTGTTGGCCCAGCACCATGCCAGGGGTCTGCCACCTGCCACCCCTGCCCTCCCTGTCCTTGCCCCCCAGCTCAGGTCCCACAGTGAGGACACGGCTGCCACTGGGAGAGGAACCTGGCAGCTGGCAGCAGACCCACGGTGGGGACAGAGGCAGGCCCAGGAGAGGACAGCAGTTTGGCCCCTCAGAGGCTTCCCACCCCCTGCCCACAGGGCAGCCTCTCAGCTGCGGCAGGAACTTGTGCAACGTCCGAAGAGGGAAGGAGGGCCGTGGGAGCCAACGGAAACCCTCCAGCCACCGGAGGTCCTGTGCTCAGGGGCTGGCACCAGGGTGGGCAGCGGTGCCATGCCCTGCACTTCCAGTCACCTAGTGTTTAGGCGATGACCCTGGGGGCCTTTGACCCCAGTCCAGCATCTCTTGCCTAGCAGGGGGACGCCAGGGAGCCACACCAGGCCTCGCTTCACCCCCCCCTTCTCCCTGTGGCGGGCACCTAGCGGGTGCTGGGCTGTGCAGGAAGGAGGCGACCTGGCTGGCGGCTGCCAGAGCTGCTGTCCTTCCTGTTTGCACTGCCAGGCTGGTGGGGGCCTACCACGGGCCTCACCCACACCACAGCCGCTCCCCTCCTGGCGGATTTTCGGGAGCCTCCCCCAGCCTCCACCCCGGGCACCTCCCACTCAGGTTGGTTGCCAGGGGCACAGTCGTGGGAACCTGCAGTCTGGCAAGTGGGGCTCAGAGGTTTGGCCCAGAAATGGGTCAGAACGAAAGGCTCTCAGAAGAAAGAAAGGGACTGAGTCAAAGGGAAAGTCGGTGGCGTCATCCTGCACCTCACCCCACCCACCTCCCGACCGCCGGGTCTGCTGGGACACAGGCGGGCACCCAGCCCCACTGGGCGGCAGTGAGCACGGAGGGTCAGGAACCGCGCGCTTTCCCCGCGGGCCCTCCCCGGTGGGCCGACCTTGCGGTGGGCGCCTCGTAAAGAGGACTCCCTCCACGGGCCCGACTCCACCGCCCAGGGCGGCAGAAGGGGGCACCCGGCCCCAGCCCAAGGGGCACCTCAGGGAGCGGGCTGAGCCTGACCACCCGCCTGACCGCCCGTCTGCCCAAGGGTTGGCCTGAGCCAGGCAGAGTCCGGACGCGTGCCTCGAGAGCCCCCTGGTGGTGAACCCCAAAGCCACCAGCTCTGGCAGGAAGGAGCCCACCCACTTTATTCTCAGTGAGAAGGGGCTGGGGCCAGGGAAGCCTCTGCGCTCACCACTGGAAAGGTGGGTGCACAGAGGGAGGGGTGCCTTGGGGGCTGGCGGGTGGCCAAGCAGGCCGGCAAATGGGGGCACGGCCAAGGGGCTGCAGGCACAGGTTCGAGCAGCAGGCTGTCCCCGCCCCTCCCCTCGACGTCTGTGCCCATCAAGCTAAGGGTGAGGTGGCACGTTCAGATCCTTGTCCTTGTCCAGGTGGACCCCCTGGGCCAGCTGCAGGGTCTGCAGGGCGCTGGTGCACCCCCTTTCTGCTCTGCACCAAGAGCTGCTCCTCTGGGCTGCCGGCTGCGCTGAGCTGCAGCTGGGGGCTGGGGATCCGGGGCCCACCCGCCCAGCCCCAGGCTGGCAGTGGGTGGGTCTGAACCACAGTGGAAGGACATCACCCCCCAGAGCCCCAAAATTGGGAGGCTCCCACTTCCTAGGGTCATGGCTAGGGGGTCACAGACCCCACATTCTGTGCCAAGTGTGGTCTTGCCCGGAGTCTCCACACGGATGTGTCACCCTAGGGTCTTTGCTGGGGTGTGGGGCTGGCACCCCCCGGCTCCTGTGCTGGGAAGGTTGCTAAGGCTGGGAGTACCATGCTGAGCTTCCTCTCCAGGGAACCTGGGAACCAGTGAGGCGGGCTGGGCTGTCGGAGGCCAGTCCTGTAGAAGGCTCAGGGGCTCAGGGTGAGGTCTGGCCAGAGGGCCAAGGCGAGATCTGCTTGTGCTGCTGCCAGGGAAGGTGCCCCTCAGCAGAAGCCCTGGGGCAGGCACGGGAGCTGCCGCCAGCCTCTGAAGCTGTGGGTGGAGGGGAAGAGGGTGGTGGGCTTGTGGGCAAGGCGGGGTAGGCCCCAGGGCAGCCCACCCATCCTGGGGCTGATGGGAGCAAGGGTGGCTCCTGAGGGCTGGGGGACAGGAGTTTGGACAAACCAAGGGGCTGTCTTTGTCTGAACTGGCAGGCGGGGGTCTGTGCCAGGTACGTGGGCTGAGGGCACCCCCTGCCCAGAGAACCTCAGCCCAGGCCACCGCTCCCATCTCATTGCAGCTGCCCCTGGGAGGGGGACCCTCCTGCCAAGACCTGAGAGTGGGCAGCAGAGACCCTGGGGACAGATTGGGGACCCTAAAAAGACCGAGAAGATGGGACACACCCAGTGGCTGCTCTCACCCCTGGGGCAGGCCAGCAGGGGTAGGACAGGCGGGTACCATGCAGGGCCCAGCAGCGAAACAGTGCCAGGGCGCCCTTGCCCTCGAGTGAGGCTTTGGTCTCTCTGCACCTCTCTGTACCTGCTCTCTGTGGCCGTCTCCCCTGACGGCTCAGACTGGGTGACAGTGACCACGGATGTGCCAGGCTGGGTGCTCAGCATCCACCCGCCCTCCCGCACAGGTCCCCCTCACGCCAAAGCCCAAAAGGAAACAGGATCCCAGCCGCGGGCCAGCCCAAGGTCACAGATGAGAGGGAGGTGGGGGGAAAGGGAGTTTCCTGGCCTGGGTGGCCTCTGGCCCCCAACACATGCTGCTGTGGACAAACCAGCAGCTCCGAGCACAGGTGACCCCATTTCCAGCAGCCTGCCTGGCCCACTCTTTCCTCAGGGACATGGCTGCCCCAGACTGGCCTTACGTTTCTCGTATCAAGACTGGCTAGGAGCCTGGACTTCTGAACCCAATCCTCCCCACTCCCCTGGCCTCGGGGGGACACACAGGTTCAGCCCCTGCAGCCCGATCTGCACCCGGCCTGGTGCCTTTGACCACACAGTCCTCTCCCCGACTCTGGCCTCCTGCCTCCTCAGTTTGGGGAGTGGTGGCCAATCCAGCCCCAGGCATTCGGGGACCCTGGCATCTTACTCCCTCACTTGGCCCACCCGGGTCTACCTGCCTGGCATGCCCCCTTCCCACATATGCTGCAGGGGCCCAGGGGCCTGCGTGGTCCCCACGTGAAACCCACACTCACTGCCCGCGTTCCTGTTCCTCCCACCTTCTGCTCAGCTGAGCAGGGGGATAGGAACCATCCTCTCTGCCTCTCTCCCCAAGCCTCCACTGGAGGATCTTCCTAAGTGGGGGACAGAGAGCCCCCTCTCTCTAGGAGTACAGAAGGCCCCAGACCCCCACTCAAGGTCCATCCACCAGGGCCCCGGATGGAGAGTGGGGGTGGCTGAGGATTAACCCATGTCTCCAACACACCCAGAAGGCACAGGTTTGAAATGTACTTTAATTGGCTTTTGTCTTCCAAATTCCCCATCCATGCCTGGCCTCTAGGGTTCTCCCTTCCCCCTCCAGTTTGGGGGTCCAAACCAAACAGGAGAGGCACAAAGGGGACAGAAGTCTCCCGGCACCAGGGAGGGGTCTCCCTGGCAAGGGGTTCTGGGCACAGCATCCCATGGCCCAGCCACAAGCAGATAGCATCAGAACATGTTCTTCTCAGTGGGAAATGCCACCTGCCTCTTCCCCCGTGGCAGGAGCACACGGACATCGCTGGCCTCCAGTCACTGCGGTGCAGACGGTGAGGACTGGCCGGGCGGGGGCGCCGACAGCGAGGCGTGGTCGAACAGGGGGTTGCGCACCTCCATCTCCCCGGTCTGCGAAGGCGGGCATCAGGCGGGCAGTGCCGTGGGAGTGGGGGACACCTTGCTGGGGAGGGCCCCCCACCCACGAGCTGGCACACCCCTCACCCACGCCACACTCACCGGGGCCAGGCCCGGGCACTCGTACACCGTGAAGTCGCCGTCTTCATTCTCCTCGTCCGAGGAGGCAGAGTCCAGCTCCTTGGGCTCTTTATGCCTGGGTGGGGGGTGGGATCGCTGGGTCCTCCCCACACCCTCCAGGTGCCAGTGGCCCAGACGGGAAGTGGGTGCTCAGCCCACAGTGGCCGGGACTAGGGGATGGGGCGGGGGGTGCGGGGCGGGGAGGGGCGCTCACCGCTCCAGGCACAGCATCTGCTGCCTCTGGTGCTGGTAGTGGTACATCTCGGCGCTGTGCGCCAGCCGCTGGTCCCCGGGCTGTGGGGCAGAGGCAAGGGTCAGGCCTCAGCGGGAGGGGGCGGCAGCCGCGTGGCTAGGGGGTGGTCACGCACCGAAATCGAAATCCGGGGCTCCGCGGGCGCGCCGGGGGCCTTCGCGGCCGCGTAGTCTGCCTTCTGGGTCAGGCGGATCTCGTGCTGCAGCCTGCGGGGCGGGGGCCTGAGACCTCGCACGCGTGCGCGGGCGCCCCCCGCCCTGCCCTGCCCGCGCCACGCTCACCTGCACCAGCAGACGGCGGCCACGGCGAGGGCGGCCGCGCCGGCCACGCAGAACGCCACGATCAGCACTGCGGGAGGGGCGCGGTGAGGGCGGCCTTCTCAGGGGGCCCCCGCCCACGCCCGCCCTGGCCGCGACCTACCGAGGGCGAAGCCGTCACGGCGCCCGCCCCGGGACTCCAAGGGGGACATGTGCACTGGCCCGGAGGACACGGGAGAGCCCCAGGAGGTGCCGGGCGTGGGCGTGAGGGCTCCCCGCGCCGCCGACGAGAGGCCGGGCTTGGGTCCTTGACCCCGCTCCGAGAATCCCACGGTGGCTGCCGAGAGAGAGGGCTGGTTAGAACAGGCGCTGGCGGAGGCCAACGGCGATGGGGCGGGGAGGGGTCTCACCGGCCTCCGGGAGCTGTTGCCCCGCCTCAGGCAGGGGCGGGGCTGTGAGACTTGAGTGCCCGGCCTCCTTGCGGGCTAGTTCCTGGGCCAGGAAGTCGATCTCATCTTCCACTCTGGGCTGGGGTCGGTCCTCCCCTGGGGAGAGCGAGGGGCCATCAGGTGGAGGGGACCCCAGCCCCTCATGACAGCATGGCTGCAGGTGGCCTCCCAGGACCAAGAGGCCCATCTGGGAGCCAGGCCCTCCCTTCCCCCTGCAAGCTCCGCCCAGGCACCAGTGGCCTGAGGACAGGGTACCAGCCTGTAGGCGCCTCTCCATCCTGGGTTGCCATGGTGGCAATGGAGGGCCTTCCCATGAGCAGCAGCTCAGGACAGTGCGGGTGGGCCAGGAGAGAGGGAGCTAGGGCAATGCGCAAAGACCGGGCAGGAGAAGAGCATGGGGTCTCTAACCCCAGAGTTGTCCGTAAAGGGATCCGCAGAGCACAGGGCGGCAACCCCCATCCCCACCTCCAAGCACCTTCTCTGGCCGAGAGGGGGCAGTGACGCCCCAAGGAGAGGGGAGAGGCCAAAGTAAGCCCAAGCATCCAGGCCCCTCCCCAGTCACCAGGAGACAGGAAGGGCAATTGTGACAGGTGGGGCTGTTGGCTGGGCCCCCACTGGCCCCCACAATCCAGACAGAAGCTCCCAGGTAGCCCACACGCAACACCAAAAAAGGACGACCCTTCTACAGCGGACCCTGCTCACCGCCGCTCAGCGCCCCTTCGACGCCCCTCCCAGGACGCCCCCGCTGGCCACACAACCAGCACCTCTCAGCCACAGACTCCAGCCGCCAGCGGGCGGGTGCCCCAGGGTTCACTCGGGGCCAGCACTCTCAGACCTTTGTCACCCAGTGGATGGATGGGGAAGTGGTGCACAGGTGCCCAGGGAGTGGGGACGTGGATACCTGGAGGTGTTTTAGGCAGACCCTGTGGGGCCCAGGCCTGGGAACTCTGACCCCTTCCTCTCCCTCGAAGCCACCCCGGCATTTCTCCCCAACATCCCTTGCCCTGGGGGGCGCTAACTGCCCCAGGCCTCAGTCCAGCTCCAGGCTCTGTGCCAGCACCATCTGCAAAGGACTGGGAGGATACTTGGAGAGGGACACGAGAGTCCTCCAAGCGTCCACTGAGCGCAGGGACCTGGCGACCACTGTCACAGAGCCGGGAGCTGAGGCCAGGGACTTCTTAGGGATAGATGCAGATGCATCAGGGTGGGGAAGGGAGGGAGGAAGGACATCTCGCTCATCGACTTCCCTGCATCTGTGCTCTCCCGTACCCGGCGGCCGTCGCACCCTGCGCACGCAGAGCCCTTGCTGGTCCTCCTGGAAGGGCTGCAGGCAGGGCCCACAGGCGTGTGCTCCCGGGGGACACCTTGCCCGCCTCTTCAGGGCACAGTCCAGGCTCCCAGGACAGGCGGCCACATCTGGGAAGGAAGCAGTGTAGGGCGGGATCACGGCCCTGCACAGCCACCCCTGCCCCTCCCTCCAGCGCTGGCCAGGCCTGGCTGTGGCCATTGTTCTGGGCAGGCCTTCCTCCCTCCCGCCAGGGCTCAGAACCAGGAAGCAAACAGGCCCAAAGCTTATCAGAACTGTTCTGCCCCACCCACTCCCCAGGGCCCACCTTCCAGGCCTGATCCAGCCCTCGGTAGGAAAGTGACCCTCACTGTCCCAGCAGCACTGAGCTCTGCCGGGCAGGGCTGCACAGCCCTCCAAGTCCAGCCTCTGGCCTCAGCATGTCCCAAGTGATCCTGGACCCTCCGTCCAGATTGGGAGCCCCAGAGGGTGGGGCTCTCCCACATGTCAGGGCTGCCCCCCAAAGCCCATCACAGAACAAGTACACAACCCAGAAGATGGTCACGGTCCCTGTCTACCCTCTGGCTTGTCCCCAGGGCACAGAGGAGACCTAGGATAGAGTCTGCTGCCCTCACTGGCCTCCAACACAGAACCCAGGCTGGGTCACTCCTACAGCCACACCATCACGGTCCACAGTCAGGGGGCCAGGTGGCACCCCAGGTCCTCAGGAGGCCTGAGCTGAGCGGTGCGGGGGACTCCAGGCCAGGCCCTGGTTCCCTAGGTCCTAGCCACACTTTCGCCTCCCTGGTTAAGAGCCCAGACCATGGTGTCCTGCTTACACACATGGCCAACTGGTCCCATGGCAGATGGGGGGCAGTGGCCCTCACTGCCTCAGTTTCCCCTGTGGGATGCAGAAATTGAGTTGCCTTCAAGCTAAGGAATGTCCCAAGGCCTGGGACTCTGGTTCTAGTCACAGTGAGCCAGGGGAGCCAGGGGGATACCCACAGGACCTCCAATCCTGACTGGGGGGCCTGGGGTGGTGGTGTCTCTGGCTAACCAGGATCTTTGCTCTCTGCCCAGCCCCCGTCCCACACTGCAGGCAGGGCCACTGGGGCCCAGGCAGATATGGAGGACCTTAGCTGGCCTGGCTTGGTTTCCTTGGTAACCTGACACTCAGAGCCTCCAGGCTGTAGGCATCCTTTCGAGGAAGTCCCAGCAACCCCAGCGGCAGGCGGGCACAGGCTCCAGTGCCAGGCATCCCCCACCCCCAGCGCCTGGCTCAGCAGCCTCCAGTATCCATGGGCTGGGCCTGGGGCTTGGGCTGGTTAAACATTAAGCCTGGGCCAGCAGGTCCGCCTGGACCCACCCACCAGCTGGGTACCTGGGGAGTCAGACAGTCCCTCCCCCAAGCTGATAACCCAGACTCCACCAGGCCACAGGGTACAAAGCGGCTCTGGAGTCTGGGCCTCCTGAGCCCCCCAGCCCCCAGCCCAGGAGGATGTGGCTGCTGTCCGTTTCGTCTTGGAGAGGAAGCCTCCAAGAGGAAACCTTGGGTTGGGGAGGAGGTCCCAGGAACAGTGGCAGCTGGAGAGTGGCTGGCACATCTGGGCTGCCTGAGGGCCCTCCCAGGCATTGGGCACTGGGGTGGGAGGGGGTGCCTAGGGAGGGGCCCCGCCAGGTCTCCCAATCAGATGACATAAAGCTGCAGAGGGCACAGCTGAGGGACGGCACCTGCCCACCCCAGGCTCAGCACAGCCGCTGCACTAACTACCATTTCCTGAAGAGGCAGCCTCTGCCATGCCGGCCAGGCACGCTCCCGCCCCAGGCCTCCTCAGAAGCCCCTCCTGGTCATGCCAACGTCCTGTCCGGGGGCACTGTGCCCAGGAGGAGCCTGCCTTGCTCTGGCCTCTTAAGGTTGCACACACAGAGCCAGACTGCCCAGGTTAACATCCCAGTTGTGCCACCTCCCAGTCACTTAACTGCTCTGTGCCTCAGTTTCCTCATCTGTAAAATGGGCTAACAGCACCTCTCCTACAGGGCTGCCAGGAGAATTGAGTGACTGTACGGGCACAAAGTCTCCCAGTTCAGCCCCCTCAGGAAAAGGTGAGCTTTGGATCCTGGGTTCCCGCAAACCTGCGCTGCCTGGAGCCTTTGTGCCCGTCTGTGAAGCAGGGAGGGCCCCCCAGGACCCTGGGCTGGTCACTCTCCTCCAGAGTCTACCTGCAGCCCTTAATCCAAAAGACAGAATGGCCACTGCCCTGGAGGGCAGGGGGTGGAGAAGGAAGCTCTGAGGCTCGAACAGCCTCCCCCTGTTGAAGCCAGAATGAGACCCTGAGCCTGGGACAGATTTTCCAGTGCCCGGGAACCTTCAGACCCCTCCACGGCAGGCAGAGCAAGGCGTGTGCCCGACATCACTGAGGCATGAGGAGCAGCTGCAACTCCCACTCCAGGTCAGACGCGGCCTGGGCCGGCAGGCACCCAAGCTTGGCCCCGCACCCGCGGGGCCGCAGCGACACATGGAAACACACACGCAAAGACGCTCACTGGACAGACCCCGCGGCCGGCCCCAAAGCCAGATCGCCGCCGATGCGGAGAAAAACCTGAGACACAGACAGGCTCACGGACCCAGAGACAAAACGAGCAGCGCAGGAACTAGAAGCGCATGAACTTCAGGTTCTCCTCCAGGAGCGCGGAGAGGCCCCATCCCCGGAGCCCCCGGCGGTCCTGGCGCCGCGCCCTCCCGGCCGCGCCTAAGTATCCCGTCCCGGCAAGGCGGAGCCGGCGCGCTCCGGGCCTGCGGGGCCTGCGGCCTGAGCGAGCGAGGGCGGCCGCGGCGAGCGTGACGGAGGCACTGGGCAGCCCGGCTCCCGCCTGGAGATCCCGGGCCCCGGGCGCCCCGCGGCCTGCGCCGAGCGCTCTCGCTCACCCAGACGGCTGGCGGCGGCCCCGCGCAGGGCCGAGCCGAGGACAAGGCCCGAAAGCAGCAGCCGCAGCAGCCGCAGGTGCCGCGGCGCGGGCGGAGGGACGGGCGTCGCCATCCTTCAGCGCCGCCGCCCGGGCAGCATGGCACCGCACGGTCCGGAGCTCGGCGCGGGCTCCCGGCGCCGCTTCGGGAGAAGCGGAGGAGAGGGAGGGGGCGGAGGAGGAAGAGGAGGCGGAGGCCGAAGAGGAGGAGGAAGAGGAAAAGAAGGCGGCGGCCCTGACGCTGCGGCAAAGGATCCGGGATGGTGGCGCGGCGTGAGGCTCGCGCGGGGAGTGCGCCTGCGCGCCCCACCTGCGGGGGCGGGACGGCGCCTCCAGGCTGCGCCCCCTCCCCCTCCCCTCCCTCCAGCTCTGGTCTCCTCTCTCCCGGCCTCTCCAGGCCTCGGGGTGCCTCGCCACCTGCGGCCTCTGCTCCGGGTCCTTCCTCGTTCCCCACAAATCCGGCTGGCCTTGGCCGGGGGCTTTCGCGGGACGCGCTCCCTCCTTGCCTCTCCCCTGTCTGCCAGCCCTCACCTCCACCCCTGTGGAGCGGAGGATTTGTCCCTGCCTAGAGGCGGGAGCACACAGGAACGCAGGAACATGAGGCGTAGACACAGGTGCACCGGGATGCACAGGTGTGCCCAGCAGGCACTGGGGCACTCGAAACGCGTAAAACAAACACAGGCGCAGAGCCAGCGGGTCCTGACTGCGGCTCTCAGTGAGGCCACCAGGGGGCAAAGGACCTGAGGCTGCTGCTGACAGCCGGCTGGGAGCTGTCCAAGGTGTTCACGGTCCCCAGGTGACCGCCTTTTAGCTCCCTGGGGCCCCGCACAACAAGCAGCCAGAATGCGCTCCGTACACCTCACTCGTGGTCTCCGGAGAGCAGCCCCCCACTGGGAAACCTCCCTCTTGCTCAGTCATTACGAGAACAGGATGAGCCCCCGCAACCCGGTGCGTCCTCTCCTTGGCGTCTCAGAACCCGTCAGCTTTGCGAAATAGCTCAAAAAATGGCAGAAGGGTGTGGGGGGTGCGCAGAATAAGAACCACCGCCCCCCAGCCACGGGCACCGGTCAGACAGAAATAGTGTCTGAGCTCACTTCCCAGAAAGGTGGGCGGTGGGAGAAGTAGCCAAGTCGCCAAGACCGCGCCTTCCCGTCCTGGAGAAAACAGCGCTTGGGGGAGGGGCTGCGGGGGCCCCAGATGCCTCCTGCGGGCGCAGAAAACTCAGTACCCAGGTGAGAGGGGCAAGGTGTCGCGGTGTCGCGGTGCCGCTGCGTGGCTTGGCTCCAGATCCAGGCTCTCTGTGAGGCTCATCCCTCCCCAGGATGGGGCCCTGGGTCCCTCTGGGCCCTGGCCTCATCTTCCGCCCCACACCTTCTGCAGGGCTCGCCCTGCCTCCACAGTCCCCACCGGTGCTGACTGCACCCTAGGCAGCTGCCTCGGCACGGCCTCCCCCTCCACCGCCTCCCTGGCCCCTACCCTAACCTCCCCTTCCCCCTACTCTAGGCCAGGGCCCAGCCTCCAGTCCCGCCTAGGTCATGGATGCGGATGGGGGCCTGTGGGGCTCTTCTAGCCAGAAAAGACGCAGGGACTCTCCTTTAAGCTAGTCAGCGCGCAGCTGCTCTGGGACACCACGACAGGGCAGGGGACCAGCCAGAGCCCCCGGTCTGGGCCCAGAGAGGGAGGAAGTGGGAGGAGCTGGTGTCCACCCTGGGGACAGGGGCAGGCCTGTGTGGCCAGCACAGCTGGAAGGGGGGACAGGCAACAGGAAAGATGCACTCTCCTTTCACCGCTCCGGGAAAAACTTTTTATTACAAAATTTTTACAAGTAGGCACTGGGCTGGCTCCCAGCCTGTGGGCTCTGACCCTCCCTCCAATACAGAGCCAGACTCCCCAAAGGGGGGGCTCCGAAGAGCCTGATTATCAGAATAGAGGCCCCCATTCCCCAGAGACCCAGCCCTGAGTCACAAGCCCAGGGATTCCCCACCCCCCCAGGAAGCGGAGAGAAGCACAAAGCCTAAGGCAAAGCCCAGGCTGGAGGGGGCTCCTTTCCCCAACCCGCCCCTGTGGGTGTGGGCGCCAGAGTCTCAGTCTTGGTTCCCCCGGCTGCCTTAGGGGTGGAGACGCTGAGGGTGGGGTGGAGGAACGTGG